AAAAAAAAAAAAAAAAGAAAAGAAAGAAGAAAGAAGAAGTGAAGAGTGCCTGTATCCTAGCCCAGTGTGTTAAGGATGTTCATAATGACCCTGTTCCCTGAAGAACTCTGTATGCTATTTATTAAATGATATTTAAAGATAGAGAAGTTGAGAAAGATTTTTACCCCGAATGTCTAACTTACAAGAAGTTGGTAGGACTAAACTTCAACAGCCTGAGATCCTGCCTTCTCCAGCAGTACTTAGTGAATAAGGTACGATTCTGTGTACCCAGAGCCACTGGGCCGCCCAACACAGTCATACTTAGCTTCCTTGTGGGTGCCTGGAATACAGGGAAGAGCGAGGGCAGAGGCCCTGCCTGCTGGAGCTGAGAGTTCATTTCCCTGTAGTGACAGAGCGCAGGCTCGGGGAGTGGCGGGATTTCCATGGCCACCTCTAGGCTGTCCTGACCTGTTCAACAGTGACCATTCCTTCTGAAATATTATTTCCCTTAAAAAAAGCTTCCTACATCACTTCTCAGCCTTTTGGTTAAGATCAAGTGTAGTATCTGTTCTTATCAGTTTAAAAAAAGCTTCCTACATCCCTACCGTACCTGACCCTGTTCTAGAATGGCTATTTGTATGTGTGTGTGTTTGTGTATCTAGTAATGTTTACATGCATTCTTCCCTTGGGGATATATATATATTTTTTTAAGATGGAGTTTTTGGTCTTGTTGCCCAGTCTGGAGTGCAGTGGCGTAATCTCGGCTCACTGCAACCTCCGCCTCCCAGGTACAAGTGATTCTCCTGCCTCAGCCTCCTGAGTAGCTGGGATTACAGGCATGCACCACCACGCCCAACTAATTTTTTGTATTTTCAGTAGAGACAGGGTTTCATCATGTTGGCCAGGCTAGTTTCGAACTCCTGACCTCAGGTGATGCATCTGCCTCGGCCTCCCAAAGTGCTGGGATTACAGGCTTGAGCCACCGCGCCTGGCCTACAGCACCCGGTATTCCCAGGCAGTCTCTCATCCAAGTACTAACCAGGCCCGACCCTGCTTATCTTCTGAGATCAGACAAGATCAGGTGCGTTCAGGGTGGTATGGCCATAGACAATGTGCAGTTTGACAGCTCTCTTGTGTTGTGTGAAGCTGTTCATACTACCTATATTTTGTCTCCCAAATGAAGCAGTGCAGGTTAGGGGCAACAGCATCAGCGTTGGCATCACACATGGCTGGAAATACGCAGGCCAGGCTGCTTAGCACATAGTGGAGTAGCCGTGGGCCAGTTGCTGGATCTCTTTGAGCCTCCGTTTCCTTTTTTGTAAAATGGTCTTCCTATGACACTATGGAACCCTCTACACAAATATCTTTGGAATGCTACTATGTCCAGGCATTGCGCTCAGTCCTTGTCAGCCAGTTCTTCACATATTAAACGTCGAGTGTATGTGCAGCTGTGGCAGATGGAAGAGAAGTAAACTTGAATTTGGAGTCGTGAGGTCCAGGTCTGTGTGCAATGTGACCTTGGGCGAGTCATCCACCCTGAGCAAGCCTCAGCTTTTCCCCCTAGTAAAGAAGGTTGATAAAACCCGACTGACAGAGTGTTTGTAAGGACAAGTTAATTCCGAACTAGCTAGACTTGCTGAGTGCTTGTTAAGGATGGGTGGAACCCATTCTGGATTAGTCCTGTAGGTCCTGGGCTTGTTAAGCCTGAGAATCCAGGCAGAGAAAAGGCCCTGGGGGAAGCTATGAGGCCGGACAGCAGCTGCCTTGCTCATCACTCTTCTTCCCCCATCTAGGTGGTAGCCGAGTGGACAATGAGGAAGAGGAAGAAGAGGGAGAAGGAGGACTGGAAACAAACAGCCCCCCAAACCCTTTCCAGCTGCACCCTCCGCCTGAAGGATGCTGCACCACAGATGGTGAGCCTCTGCCAACCCCTGGCCAGGCAGTGCCTGCCATGCTGCCTGGAGGCAGTGGCCAGGCCGGTAACTGAGCCTGTGACTGTGTGCTGCAGGGGTCCTCTTTGGTCTTCCTCTTTGCTTTCCCTGAGGTGTGAGCCATGCCTGTGGGCCCCCAGCAGGTGCTGGCCCGGCCTGCCCTCCTGAAGCGGGAGCTCCAGAGACACCATGCTGGGATGCTAAGGCAGGCCTCTGTGCTGCTCTTTGGACAGCCTCAACTTTACCAATGGCTTGGGAGCCAGACATTCATTTTTCTGTGTTGGTTGCTTGGAACCTAGAGTACATTTTCCCTACTCAGGCCTGTTTGCACAGGATATTGAACTCAGAAGTAATTAGGAAGAATAATCTTTCCTTTCTTTCCTTTCCTTTCCTTTCCCCTCCCCTCCCCTCCCCTCCCCTCCTTTCCTTTCTTTCCTTTCTTTCTTTTTTGACAGAATCTTACTCTGTTGCCCAGGCTGGAATGCAGTGGTGCAATCTCAGATCACTGCAGCCTCCGCCTCCTGGCTTCAAGCAATTCTCCTGCCTCAGCCTCCCAAGTAGCTGGGATTATAGGCACACGCCACCATGCCTGGCTAATTTTTGTATTTTTAGTAGAGATGGGGTTTCACCATGTTGACCAGGCTGGTCTCAAACTCCTGACCTCAGGTGATCCAACTGCCTCAGCCTCCCAAAGTGCTGGGATTACAGGCGTGAGCCACCGTGCTTGGCTGGAATAATCTCTCATACCCATCAGTATGTCAGTGTTGAACAGGCGGATACACATAATCTCAGGGACCCTGTTCAGTCAGTAATGGTACAGTTTCACTGTTGAGGAACAGAGGCCTGGAGATGCTGGGCGGGTGGCAGCTTAGCCCTGTGCTGAGAGCTTGTGCTGTGCACTCAGAGAGGCGTGGGGCAGACCCCTGACTCTGACACCCATGCGCCACACAACCTCTTTGCTAGTGAGTTCATCTGTCCTGACACCATGCCAGTCAAGCAGGGAGGCCAGTTAGCAGCGAGAACATCACTTTGGGCATCAGACACAACTGAAACATGCAGGCCGTGCTGCTTAGCAGATAGTTGAGTAGCTGCGTTCCAATCTCTGCATCTCTCTGAGCCTCCGCTTCCTTATTTGTAAAAGGGTTTACATAGGACACTGTGGTACCCCATACAAATATTTTTGGAATGCCTACAATGTCCAGGCATTGTGCTCAGTCCTTAGTTATTTAAGATAACTAACTGGTTATTATTAAATTAAGCAGTAATTGAAGTAATTATTGAACTCTTTGCTCTGGATATATGGAGATAAATGGGATGAGAGATCCCTGTTTGATGGGAGCTATACAGGGAAGTGGACACTTTGCACGCAGTTGGGAGCAAGCAGGGGTGCATGGAGCAGAGGAGGGGCTCTAACGCAGGTAGAGAGTTTTGGGAAGGCTTCCTGGAGGAGGTGGCCCTTTGGGTTTTGGAGGATTAGTACGAGTCAGCCAGGAGACTGTGGAGGGCTTGGAGGAAGCTGGGAAGTTCCAGACAGAGGGAACAGCATGTGCAAAGGCTTAGTCGGGTGAAATTACAGCTCATTTGGGGGAACTGCTAACAGATTATTTACGTAGGGGCCTGAGGTGTGGCAGAGCCAGGCTTGGAAGAGTGATGAGACTTGGTGTGAAGGCCCCATGTGTTCTGCCTTGGGGTCTGGACTTGACTCTGAGCATGATGACTGGGAGGGGAGGGACTCGGCCCTTGCTGGGCTGCTCTTCCAGGCAAGGGGAAGGCAATATGGTGACTCTTAGGTAGGACTTCTAGTGTCTAAGTATTTAAAAGGCTACTGAATTAAATGGTAAGAGGTAAACTCTTCAGCCAGGCATGGTGGCGCAAGTAGTCAAGTCCCAGCTACTGGGAGGCTGAGGCAGGAGGATTGCTTGAGCCCAAACTTCAAGGCCAGCCTGGGCAACATAGCAAGACCCTATCTCTTAAAAAAAAAACATTAGGAGGTAAACTCTCCAATGGTCATTATATTTTCACATAATTTCCAAATAAATACAGTAAACACGGTGACTACTCATAGCCTACATCCCTCCAGCTCTTCAGAAAGCATGGACCACACCAGGCTGGGAGGGACCTAGGTCGGAGAGTTAGGGGACCTCTGGGGATTGACGTTGACCTCAGGGAATTGACCTCCCTTCCCCAAGCCAATGCAAGGAACTGCCCTGTGTTAGTCCATTTTCACACTGCTGATAAAGACATACCCAAGATTGGGCAATTTTCAAAAGAAAGTGGTTTCTTAGACCTACCGTTCCACATAGCTGGGGAGGCCTCACAATCATGGTGGAAGGTGAAAGGCACATCACATGGCAGCAGACAAGACAAGAGAGCTTGTGTGGGGAAACTCGTCACTATCACGAGAATAGCGTGGGAAAGGCCCACCCCCATGATTTGATTACCTCCCACCGGATCCCTCCCACAATATGTGGGAATTGTGGGAGTTACAGTTTAAGATGAGATGGGGGGTGGGGGCACAGCCAGACTATATCGTGCTCCAAACCTAGGAGTCAGCTTGGCCTCCCTTCCTGGTCCACCTCTCTGTAGCTTGCAGCAAATCACCCAACCTCTCTGAGCCTCAGTTTCCCTATCTTCAAAATGGGAACAGCCACACTTTGCTGCAGGTGATGAGATGAGAACTTTGCAGAGCCTGCCTCACCAGTGCCTGGCATGTGGTGGTCCTGGCCCCACGCCTGCCAGCGTCTCCCTCACAGGTGTTGCTTTCTCCTGCCCCCGCCCAGCGGCACATGGGAAACCGTGGAGCAAATGCTCGGTGAGTGGGGAAGCCCTGCACGCAGGAGCAAAGTCTTCATGATGTCCTGTAGCGCTCTGCTGGGAAGGCCTTGGCTCATCGGGGCTCCCAGAGAGGTCTCAGTCGGGAGCTAAAGCTACACAGAGCACAGGAGATGGAGCTGGGTGTGCCCTTACCTGGGACAAGACCCTGGAAAAGGCTTATCCAAATTAATCTCAGCTGGCTCTCTCTTTTACCTTTCCCCCCAAATATTTGTAGAGATGTGTTATTTGAATAGGAAATTTACAAACTCTAAAACGCAAAAGGTTCTGAAGGGCATGGAATGAGAATCTCCGTGCTCTCGGCCTGCTCTGTGCCTGTGTCCTGGCCACGAGTCCTCCCCACCGCCCCCTAGAGGAAACCGACGCTATCAGATTCTCAGCCTTCGTTTTTCATGATGGCCTCTTTCTCAGCCCCAAAACATGCAGCATGTAAGAAACATCAGAGGACCCTCAGTTTCTTAAGGATTTATCTTGTATATGTTTCCATTTGCCGTCACGTGTTTAAAATTTCTTCCTGTTGAGCTTCATTTGCACATTAATGTGCATTACATGGTGGCACCAATAGACAAATAATGTGTGATCTGTGTCGTGGATAACTATGATTTTATATGTGTGTGTGT